TACAGTTGGAGGTCTGCAGTGGTACAGTTGGAGGTCTGCATTGGTACAGTTGGAGGTCTGCAGTGGTACAGTTGGAGGTCTGCATTGGGACAGTTGGAGGTCTGCAGTGGTAGTGATGAAGGTCTGCAGTGGGACAGTTGGAGGTCTGCAGTGGTAGTGATGAAGGTCTGCAGTGGGACAGTTGGAGGTCTGCAGTGGGACAGTTGGAGGTCTGCAGTTGGACAGTTGGAGGTCTGTAGTGGGACAGTTGGAGGTCTGTAGTGGGACAGTTGGAGGTCTGCAGTGGGACAGATGGAGGTCTGCAGTGGGACAGATGGAGGTCTGCAGTGGGACAGATGGAGGTCTGCAGTGGTAGTGATGAAGGTCTGCAGTGGGACAGTTGGAGGTCTGCAGTGGGACAGATGGAGGTCTGCAGTGGGACAGATGGAGGTCTGCAGTGGGACAGTTGGAGGTCTGCAGTGGGACAGTTGGAGGTCTGCAGTGGGACAGATGGAGGTCTTTAGCAGGACAGTTGGAGGTCTGCAGTTGGACAGCTGGAAGTCTGCAGTGGTACAGATGGAGGTCTTTAATGGGACAGTTGGAGGTCTGCAGTTGGACAGTTGGAGGTCTGCAGTTGGACAGTTGGAGGTCTGCAGTTGGACAGTTGGAGGTCTGCAGCGGGACAGATGGAGGTCTGCAGCGGGACAGTTGGAGGTCTGCAGCGGGACAGTTGGAGGTCTGCAGTGGGACAGTTGGAGGTCTGCAGTGGGACAGTTGGAGGTCTGCAGTGGGACTGATGGAGGTCTGCAGTGGGACAGATGGAGGTCTGCAGTGGTCTCATCTGTAGTCTTGAGGTTTGGATTTGGACTGAAGGAACCAGACCTTGGGTCCAAACAGGAGCAGTCTTGTTCCTCAGTAGGATGTTATAAGGTGGTCTGTCCTCAGTGTCCTCTCACTGAGGACACTGATGACAGATCAGAACTCTCAGATTATGGTTTTTAATTTTCTTCAGTGTATCTGGTTTTTGTCTTTCTGGTGGACGTTCATTCACAGTTTTTGGACAGAAAACTATCTGAGGACAATCTGAGGAATCATGTTTATTTAATGATAGAAGCAGCAGATGTTTCTGAACACCATGCACTTCTCCTGAGGTCCAGCAGGAGGTGTCCTCTCTCCTCCTGCAGTGTTCTGCTTCAGGTGTGGGGTCCAGTAAACACACACACACACACACACACACACACACACAGAGCAAACAGACCTGCCTCAGACAGTTCTGCTCTGAGACGCTGTGCTGAATTTCTTCAGAACTGTGACAGCGCCTGGCAGGTCCGTTCTGTGACCCGACACGTCCTCCTCCCTGAGCTGAGACTCCAGGAGGCGTCCTGCTCCTCAGACATAAATCAGAGGATGGAGAGTTCCTCCATAAACCCTCAGAGGAACCAGGACCAGAGGAAATGGAGTCTGAGCTGCAGGAGGAAAATAACTCTCCTTTAGCATCAGATGTTAATAATTACTTTCTGCCTCTAACCCTCCTGGACTCCATAAAAACGTTTCCTTTTGTTCCCAGAGAGCAGAGAGTGGACAGAATCAGATTGTTGCTTCAGATGAAGGTCAGTGGAAGCTCCTCTTCCTGGAAACCTGCAGAGATTCACAAGAAAGCCTCTGACAGGCTGTGATTATCCGGAGATGCGAAGCCGGTCCTGTCAGAGCTGAAGAAGTCCTGCTGGGAGTCTCCTGCAGGTCTGCAGGTTTCATGCCTGCAGCAGCTTTCACAGAGAAATGTGACGTTTCTCACAGATTCCAACAAATCGGTTGTTTTATAGATTTCTGCAGATAAAATTATAATAAAACCGTTTCTATAAAGAGACCTCAATGCTACTCAGCACCAGTTTGTTGCTTTAAAGTCTGCAGAATATTTTTCCTGTTAACGTTTAATGTCAGAGTTCCAGCTGCTGCCCTCTCCTCCTGGTCCTCCCGGTTCAGGAGTGTTTGTGCTGAAGTCTGACACAGGAGGGGTTTGTGTTTACCGGTCCTCTCAGCCTTCTCTGTACACAAACAGTCGCACAGTGCTGCATTAAGCAGCCGTCCTCCCACGGGGCTAATCACATCAGGCCACAAGTCAAGCAAGTCTTTCTAAACATCCATTAAAGCTGCTCCTCTGCTCCAGATCCTGCATGAATCAGCCACCGTGAAATATTACCTCTATAAATTCAGCTTAACACGATGCAGCGCCGCCGCCGCCGCCGTTCTGCACCTCAGGAGTGTGTCTGCATGAGATGAGACGTCTGCTGGACCTCGGCCAGCACCTGCAGGTCCTGTCAGCAGGGGTCAAAGGTCACATTTTAATCATTTACCCTAGAAATTAACAGTTTTTACATTTATTTAAATTTGTTAATTTAACATGGTTCCTGCAGATCCTTAGAAAGCATTAAAAGGCATTGAATTCATCAATCCAAAAATAAGGCCTTAATTAGCCTTAAAGGGATCCGTGATTAGTTGTAACATTAAACTTTATTTGATAAACATTTATTTTAACTGTAAAATAAAGACTGTAAAAATACTGTGGGCTGTTTAGTTTTGTAAATTTAAAAAATATATTTTAACATGGACATAGCCATTTTATTTACACGCAAAGCATTCTGGGTAAATGATGACGTGGATAGGTCCTCGGTGCGAG